GCCCACAAAATGGACAACCTGGGAGAAATGGACAAATTCTTAGAAAAGTACAACCTTCTAAAGACTGAATCAGGAAGAAAAAGAAAATATGAGCAGACCAATCAGAAGTAATGGAATTGAAACTGATTAAAAATCTTCCAACAAACAAAAGTCCAGGACCACATGGGTTCACAGGCAAATTCTATCAAATACTTACAGAAGAGCTTACACCTATCCCTCTCAAACTCTTCAAAAAGATTACAGAGGGAAGAACACTCCCTTCAAAAAGATTACAGAGGGAAGAACACTCCTCCTTCATTCTACAAAGCCACCATCAGCCTGCTACCAAAACCAAAGATATCACACAAAAAAGAAAATTACAGGGTAATATCATTGATGAACACAAATGCAAAAACACTCAACAAAACACTAGCAAACTGAATCCAACAGCACATTGAAAGGATAATACACCATCAAGTGGGATTCATCCTAAGGAGTGCAAGGATTTTCAAGATACATATATCACAAGATACATATATCAATCAATGTGATACACCATATTAAGTTGAAAAATAAAAATGGTATGATCATCTTAATAGATGCAGAAAAAGCTTTTGACACAATTCAATATTCATTTATGATAAAAAACAAAAAAGCTCTCCAGACAAGTGGGCAAAGAGGGAACCTACCTCAACATAATAAAGACCAAATATGACAAACCCATGGCAAGCATCATTCTCTATGGTGAAAAGCTGAAAGCATTTCCTGTAAGATCAGAAATAAGACAAGGGTGTCTGTCCACTCTTGCCACTGTTTTATTCAACATAGTTTTGGAAGTCCTAGCTATGGCAGTCAGAGGAGAAAAAGAAATAAAAGTAATCCAATTGGAAAAGAAGTAAAACTGTCACTCTCTGCAGATGACATGATACTATACATAGAAAATCCTAAGGAGGCCACCAGAAAACTACTAGAGCTAATCAATGAATTTAGTAAAGTTAAAATTTAGTAATTCTGTGGGATATAAAATTAATACACAGAAACCTCTTGCATTCCTATACACTGTAAACAAAATATCAGAAAGAGAAATTAGGAAGACAATCCCATTTACCACTGCAACAGGAAGAATAAAATGACTATGAATAGACCTACCTAAGAAGGCAAAAAACTCATACTCAGAAAACTATAAGATAATGATGAAAGAAATCAAATATGATTTGGATTGGAAAAATCAATATTATGAAAATGACTATACTACCCAAAGCAATCTACAAGTTAAGTGCAGTGCCTATCAAATAACCAATGGCCATACAGCAAATTACCACTGGCTATCTATTTTACATATGGTAATGTAAGTTTCCATGTCACTCTCTCCATACATCTCACCCTCTCCTCCCCTCTCCCCATGTCCATAAGTCTATTTTATGTGGTTCAAGAAACTCAAACAGGGGCTCTGTATCAACCTAGAGGGGTGGAATGGGGAGGGAGATGGGAGGGAGGTTCAAAAGGGAGGGAATGTATGTATACCTATGGCTGATTCATGTTGAGGTTTGACAGAATACAACAAAATTCTGTACAGCAATTATCCTCAATTACAAAATAAATTCTAAAAAAAATAACCAATGGCACTTTTCATAGAATTAGAACAAAAAAGTTTAGCTTGTGTGGAAACAAAAAAGACCCCAAGCAGCCAAAGCAGTCTTGATAAAGATAAAAAGAGCTGGAGGGTTTAGGCTCCCTGACTTCAGGCTATACTACAAAGCTACGGTAATCAAGACAGTATGGCACTGGCACAAAAACAGAAATACAGATCAATGTAACAGGACAGAAAGCCCAGCAATAAACCCTCACACACAGCCACCTACTCTATGACAAAGAAGTCAAGAATATACGATGGAGAAAAGACAGCCTCTTCAATAAAAAGTGCTAGGAAAACTGAACAGCTACATGTAAAAAATGAAATTAGAACACTACCTAACACCATATGTGAAAATAACTCAAAATGGATTGAAGACCTAAATGTAAGACAAGACACTCTAAAACTCTTAGAGAAAAGCATAGGCAGAACACTCTTTGACATAAATCCCAGCAAGATCCTTTTTGACCCACCTCCTGGAGTAATGAAAATAAAAACAAAAATAAACAAAGGGGGTCTAATTAAACTTAACAGCCTTTACACAGGCAAGAAAACCATAAACATTACTTAAAAGACAATGCTCAGAATGGGAGAAAATATTTGCAAACAAAGGATTAATCTTCAAAATATACAAGCAGTTCATGCAGTTCAATAGCAAAAAATAACAAACATCCTAGTCAAAAAAAAAAAAAAAAATGGGTGGAAGACCTAAACAGACATTTCTTCAAAGAAGACATACAGGTAGCCAACAAACACATGAAAAGATGACCAACATTGCTCATTATGAGAGAAATGGAAATCAAAACTACAATGAGATATCATCGCCCACCAGTCAGAATGGCCATCATCAAAAGTCTACAGACAATAAATGCTGGAGAAGATATGAAGAAAAGGGAACCCTCTTGTAAATTCCTCTTGGGAAGGTAAATTGATACAACCACTATGGAAAACAGTATGGAGGTTCTTTTAAAAAAGACTAAAAATAAAACTGTCATATGACCCAGCAATCCCACCACTGGGCATATACCTTGAGAAAACCATAATTCAAAAAGACCACATGTACCTCAATGTTCATTGCAGCATTATTTACAATGGCCAAGACATAGAAGCAACCTAAATGTCCATTGACAGATGACTGGATAAAGAAGATGTGGAACATATATACAGTGGGATATTATTCAGTCATAAAAAGAGCAAAATTGGGTCATTTGTAGTGATATGGATGAACCTAGAGTCTGTCACCCAGAGTGAAGTAAGTCAGAGAAACACAAATATTGTATATTAATGCATATACATGGAATCTAAAACAAAAATGGTACTGATGAACCTATTTGCAGGATAGGAATAGTACCCACATTAGAGGACAGACGTCCAAACAGTGGAGGAAGGATGGTGGGATGGATTAAGAGAGTAGCATTGACATATATGCACGACCACACGTAGAATCTCTGGTGGGAACCTGCCGCATAGGCCAGGGAACTCAGCTCAGAGCTCTGTGATGACTCAGGGGTGGGATGGGAGGGGGACAAAGGCGCCAGAGGGAGGGGATATGTGTATACGTGTAACTGAGGCAGGTTGTTGTCCAGCAGAAACTACACAACATCTTAAAGCAAATATAGTCCAGTTTTAAAAATCAAGATTGAATTATATTTCTATACTATAATTTACTAAGCAATGATTTTGAATATCTAGATTATAAAAGTGAAATAATGAATACATTATTTCAATGTGATTGTCTTTTTAAAAGATTTTTTTTCCAAAAGAATAAACTGAGATCACTGTATAACCATGTACAGCAATGTAGATAAACATATGATCTATCTGGTGAAATAAGTTTCATAATCTATTAGTTTATCCTGCTCATTATCTAATTTATGTAACATAAAAATAAATCCTACTGCTGCAAATTAGAACAATAAAATAAGAATAAGATAATGTCTCCTATAGACATATCACATCTTAGCACCTCTCTGACATCATATATGAACAAAATGTAATTATGCAGCAACATTTTACATAGATACTGTCTTGAGTAAATAGTCTGAGAAGAATATGGCCTGAAACCAGAGTAGGCCAGCCCAGCAATGTAATTTCCCACTATTTTTCAAGATAAAACCCTAAATCTCTTATCTAGATAGCATATGTCTCTCTAACAATTTCCCTCAGCTCCCCTATTTTTGCACTATAAAATGAACCATGGCAAACTCCTGGAATATTAACTCTCTGTTAATCTGACCCTGGGAGGCACTCTGGATTTGCTTATAGAGTTAACCTCTTTCTAATATTCTATTCACATTTAACATGCACTTGTTTGTCTTCCTCATTAGTCTGAAAGCTCCTTGAGTTCAGAGACCATATCTTTTCTACCTCTTTATTCACAAAGAGCACAGTTTGCGTGGTACAGATAAGACATTCAATAGTTACTGGTCTTTGAAGGAATAAATATGTAAATATTACAAAATCTGCTGCGATGCGGGAGCCCCTGCTCGATTCCTGGCTTGGGCAGATCCCTGGAGAAGGGAGAGGCTGCCCGCTCCAGTTTCCATGGCCTTCCCGGTGGCTCAGGCAGCAAAGAATCCGCCTGCCATGCGGGAGGCCTGGATTTGATCCCTGGGTTGGGAAGATGGCCTGGAGAAGGAAAAGCTACCCTCTCCAGTTTTCTTGCCTGGAGAATTCCATGGACAGAGGATCCTGGCAGGCTCTAGTCCATGGGGCTGCAAAAAGTCAGACAGGACTGAGTGACTTTCACTTTCACATCAAAAGTTCAGTCTTTTTAATGGCTGAGTAATATTCCGTTGTGTATATGTACCACAGCTTCCTTATCTATTCGTCTGCTGATAAAGACCAATACAGTACACTAACGCATATATATGGTATTTAGAAAGATGGTAGCATTAACCCTATATGCAAAACAGAAAAAGAGACACAGATGTACAGAACAGACTTTTGGACTCTGTGGGAGAAGGTGAGGGTAGGATGTTTTGAGAGAACAGCATCGAAACATGTATATTATCAAGGGTGAAACAGATCACCAGCCCAGGTTGGATGCATGAGACAAGTGCTCGGGGCTGGTGCACTGGGAAGACCCAGAGGGATGGGGTGGGGAGGGAGGTGGGAGCGGGGATCGGGATGGGGAATACATGTAACTCCATGGCTGATTCATGTCAATGTATGGCAAAAACCACTACAATATTGTAAAGTAATTAGCCTCCAACCAATAAAGATAAATGGGAAAAAAAAGTTCAGTCTTACTGATATTCTGAAAAATCTGAAGTTTTGACTGTCCTTTTAATGACCTTACCATTCTGGAAAGATCAGAATTTATATAAATCTTCTACTTGAACATACTTAACTTCCAATGACCTAGTGATTCCTTGATCTATTTCAGATGACCTATTCTATAGTACTGAACATCTTGAGTGCCTGCAGTGCAGTGATCGGTCTGCTTTTACTATGTCTTGAATTTTTAATCTTTGCTTTAGCTAAAACTGCTGCTTGGCCACACGTAAGTACCAGGTTTCTATGAAAATTTCATCAGAAATTTACAACTACATTTTTTTTTATTTTTAAAAATTTATTTTTGATTGAAGGATTATTGCTTTACAGTATTGTGTTGGTTTCTACCAAACATCAACATGAAATCAGCCATAGGTTTACCTATATCCCCTCCCACACCCCTCCCACCTCCTTCCCCATCCCACCCTTTTTTTAAAATATAAATTTATTTATTTCAATTGGAGGCTAATTACTTTACAACATTGTATTGGTTTTGCCATACATTGACTTGACTCCTCCATGGGTGTACATGTGTCCCCATCCTGAACCACCTTCTCACCTCCCTCCCCATCCCTGCCCTCTGGGTCATCCCAGTGCACCAGCCCCGAGCACCCTGTCTCATGCATCGAACCTGGACTGGCAATTCATTTCAAGTATGATAATATACATGTTTCAGTGCCATTCTCCCAAATCATCCCACCCTCGCCCTCTCCCACAGAGTCCAAAAGACTGTTCTATACATCTGTGTCTCTTTTGCTGTCCCACATACAGGGTTATCATTACCATCTTTCTAAATTCCATATACATGCGTTAGTATACTGTATTGGTTTAGGAATACAGGCTATAGTTTGAGCTGTGTTTATAGTAGGTGCATATGCAGAAGAGTAATGATGAAAGTCACCTCCATATCTTGCATAGTGCTTACTTTGGTAAATCGCTCATCTACCAAAATCTTCTGCATATGCACCTACTATAAACACAGCTCAACCTGTAGCCTGTATTCCTAAACCTGCTGTTGCTAGTCACTAAGTTGTATCTGACTCTTTTGTGCCCTGTGAACTGTAGCCTTGCCAGGCTCCTCTGTCCATGGGATTTCAAGAATACTTGAGTGGGTTGCCATTTTCTTCTCCAGGGGATCTTCCCAATCCAGGGATTGGACCTGCATCTTCTGAACTGGCAAGTGGATAATTTACCACTAAGCCACCAGGGATACTCACATTCCTAAACCTCAGATCACCCAAAACCTCAAGTAACCACATGGAATGTATCATAAACATTAATAGATATATTTCGAGTGACTTAGCATTATATTGAATTCTAGCCCCGCCTTGTAACCAAGATAGTTTTATGATAAGTAGTTCAGTTCCTCTCAGCTACCTGCATCTCTGAGGCCAACTTTCTCAGGCCTCAGAAAATCAAGGTAATTATAGCAAGATTTGATCTTCAGTGAAGGAAATAACATCCTATGTACTTGCAATATCCCAGAATTTACGTTCAGTATCAGGGCTGTATATATTTTGTCAATATAGTCTATAGACAGAATAAAACTGAATTCTGTAGATGCAAGTAGTCTGGAATACAGGTGTACGCGGTCCTGTATGCACATGACTGTGGACGTGTTTGCATTGCCTGCTTTGTGTCTGTCGGTCAGCAGGTCTGTGCGAGTCTGTGTAAGTGTGTTTGTGTTTGCAGTTCAGTATCCGTGTATATCTGTTTCAAAGCATGTGGAACACTGGGCAGACATACATGCTCTTATCTGTATAGGTTTGTTGCTATTCAGAGGAGAAGCTAAGAGGGGAAAGAAGATGGAAGTCAGTCCTAAGCAAGTTGTGTAGGAACTGAATCCTTCTCTGTAGATTCCCTCTTCTGCTTTATCCCATCTACCCAGGGCATGACAGAGGTCGAAACAGCTGGGCCTTTAACCAAGACCTGGAAACCAACTTTTCTGAATAGAGCCCATTGGATATTGCCTGTTTTTTTCAGCACGCTCTCCTTCAAAATCCCAAACTCTTGAGTAATTAACTAGTTCCAAAGCTTATGTTAGTTTGCGTTTTGCTGAATTTTTCTTATTTCTACATAATGAAAATGGCTACAGTAATTGGCATAGCAGACTTCCTCAGGGAATGACTTATGTCTGATTCACTTTAAGAAACAACTTTAAGAAATGTTAAACTACTGGCTAAGGGCCACAGGGCTTGAACTTGTCAGGATGGCCATCCTGATGAACTAATCAGGATGGCCTAAATTCCAAATTATTTCACTACATGAAATTGAACCTTAAGAGAAATCAATTAAATGGCACATCAAAGAACTGTCTTATTGGTGTACAGGACGTTAATATTTTATGATGCTTACCCTGAAGGAAAACTTAAAGTGAAATTGTAAATAAATGTAAATCTCTAGATATTGCTTCAGACTATTTTTGCATAATAAGAATGTTTGTTTTACTGGATTGGAGTACAATCACAATCAAACTGTTTCATTTTTCCAATTCATCTCTTGAACCTCCATTGTTCATATTAGCAATAAATCTGAGATTTCGTTGGGGTCCAACCCCTGTTTATACTCTCAAGTTATTCAAGAACTTGGGAGCCTTAAGTTCAATATTGACTCTATACCTCTAGTTGATACAGTCCTGGAACATCTTAGGAGTCCCCCAGCATACCTGTAATTTCCACTGTCATGGCTTCAGTTCAGTTCAGTCGCTCAGTCGTGTCCAACCTTTGCAACCCCATGGACTGCAGCACACCAGGTTTCCCTGTCCATCACCAACTCCCAGAGCTTGCTCAAAACATGTCCATCGAGTCAGTGATGCCATCCAGCCATTTCATCCTCTGTCATCCCCTTCTCCTCCTGCCTTCAATCTTTCCCACCATCAGGGACTTTTCCAATGAGTCAGTTCTTCACATCAAGTAGCCAAAATATTACAGCTTCAGCTTCAACATCAGTGCTTCCAATGACCATTCAGGACTGATTTCTTTTAGGACTGACTGGTTGGATCGCCTTGCTGTCCAAGGAACTCGTAAGAGTCTTCTCCAACACCACAGTTCTTTAGCACTCAGCTCTCTTTATAGTCCAACTCTCACATCCATACATGACTACTGGAAAAACCATACCTTTGACTATATGGACCTTTGTCAATAAAGTAATGTCTCTGCTTTTCAATATGCTGTCTAGTTTGTCATAGCTTTTCTTCCTAGGAGCAAGTATCTTTAAATTTCACAGCTGTAGTCACCAACTGCAGTGATTTTAGAGCCCAAGAAAATGAAATCTGTCACTGTTCCCATTGTTTCCCTATCTATTTGCCATGAAGTGATGGGACCAGAAGCCATGAATATTAGTTTTTTGAATGTTGAGTTTTAAGCCAGCTTTTTCACTCTCCTATTTCACTTTCATCAAGATGCCCTTTAGTTGCTCTTCACTTTCTGCTATAAGGGTGGTGTCATCTGCATATCTGAGGTTATTAATATTTCTCCCAGCAATCTTGATTCCAGCTCATGCTCAATCCAGCCCAGCATTTCACATGATGTGCTCTGCATATAAGTTAAATAAGGAGGGTGACAATATTCAGCCTTGAATATTGTCCTTTCCAGATTTGGAACCAGTCTGTTCCATGTCTGGTTCTAACTGTTGCATCTTGACCTGTCTACAGATTTCTCAGGAGGCAAGTAAGGTGGTCTGGTATTCCCATCTCTTCAAGGATTTTCCAGTTGTTGTCATCCACACAGTCAAAGGCTTTAGCAGTCAATGAAGAAGAAGTAGATGTTCTTCTGGAATTATCTTGCTTTTTCTATGATCCAACAGATGTTCGCAATTTGACCTCTGATTCCTCTGCCTTTTCTAAATCCAGCTTGAACATCTGGAAGTTCTCAGTTCATGTACTGTAGAAACCTAGCTTGGAGAATTTTGAGCATTACTAGTGTGTGAGATGAGTGCAATTGTGTGGTAGTTTGAACAGTCTTTGGCATTGCCTTTCTTTGGGATTGGGATGAAAACTGACCTTCTCCAATCCTGTGACCACTGCTGAGTTTTCCAAAATTGTTGGCATACTGAGTGCAGCACTTTCACAGCATCATCTTTTAGAATTTGAAATAGTTCAGCTAGAATTCCATCACCTCCATTAGCTTTGTTCATAGTGATGCTTCCTAAGGTCCACTTGACTTCACATTCCAGGACGTCTGGCTCTAGGTGAGTGATCACACCATCGTGGTTATCTGTGACATGAAATCTTTTTTGTATAGTTCTTCTGTGTATTCTTGCCACCTCTTCTTAATCTCTTCTGCTTCTGTTAGGTCCATACCATTTCTGTCCTTTATTGTGTCCATTTTTGCATGAAATGTTCCTTGGTATCTCTAATTTTCTTGAAGAGATCTCTAGTCTTTCCCATTCTATTGTTTTCCTCTATTTTTTTTTGCATTGATCACTGAGGAAGGCTTTCTTATCTCTCCTTGCTATTCTTTGGAACTCTGCATTCAAGTGGGTATATCTTCCCTTTTCTCCTTTGCCTTTCACTTCTCTTCTTTTCATAGCTATTTGTAAGGCCTCCTCAGACAGCCATTTTGCCTTTTATACTGTATTTCTTTTTCTTGGGGATAGTCTTGATCTCTGTCTCTTGTACAATGTCACAAACCTCTGTCCACAGTTCTTCAGGCACTCTATCAGATCTAATCCCTTGAATCTATTTGTCACTTCCAGTGTATAATTGTAAGGGATTTGATTTAGGTCATACCTGAATGGTTTAGTGGTTTTCCCTACCTTCTTCAATTTAAGTCTGAATTTTACAATAAGGAGTTCATGATCTGAGCCACACTCAGCTCCTGGTCTTGCTTTTTTCTGACTGTATAGAGCTTCTCCATCTCCAACTGCAAAGAATATAATCAATCTGATTTCAGTATTGACCATCTGGTGATGTCCATGAGTAGAGTCTTCTCTTGTGTTGTTGGGTGATGGTGTTTGCTGTGACCAGTGTGTTGTCTTGGCAAGACTCTCTTAGCCTTTCCCCTGCTTCATTTTGTTCTCCAAGGGCAAACTTCCCTGTTACTCCAGGGATCTCTTGACTTCCTAGTTTTGCATTCCAGCCCCGTATGATGAATATGACATCTTTTCTTGGTTATAGTTCGAGAAGATCTTGTAGGTCTTCATAGAACTGTTCAACTTCAACTTCTTCAGCTTTACTGGTCGGGGTATTGGTTTGGATTACCAGGATATTGAATGGTTTGCCTTGGAAACAAACAGAGATTATTCTGTCATTTTTGAGATTGCACCAGAGTACTGCATTTTGGACTCTCTTGTTGACTATGAGGGCTACTCCATTTCTTCTAAGGGATTCTGGCCCACAGTAAGTAGATATAATGATCATCTGAGTTAAATTTACCCATTCTGGTTCATTTTAGTTCACTGATTCCTAAAACATCAGTGTTCACTCTTGTCATCTTCTGTTTGACCACTTTCAATTCATCTTCATCTGAAGTCATGGTTTCAGATACTATTAAATGGTGCCAATATTGAAACCTGATCCCCATAACCCATGGTGGCCTTGTCACAAGGGTCCTTCAGGTTTTGGTTTTCAGAATTACAGATTCTATATTCTTGTTTCCAACCCAAATATCTCACAAGGATATGGGTCTATTCCACCTACCCCCAACACATAAGTCCTTGTGTTGAGCCTAAGTCACCAGTCCAAACCTCCTCTTTCTTCACTGCGACTTCCCCCTTATGACCCTTTTCTAACAACAGGACTGATTTTAAACATCTCTCCATTAAAAAAAATTCTGTAACACTGAACCTCAAATGTCTCAATTCCATCTTCTTCAGAAGTCCATTAGCCTCAGTGAAAAACCCAACAACAGAGGCAAACACAATGATTCTTCTTATTCATTTGGTGAAATCTGTTACCTTAAAATCATCCTCGGAGGAGGAGCCAAGATGGCGGAGGGATAGGGCGGGGAGACCACTTTCTCCCCCACAAATTCATCGAAAGAACAATTGAACGCTGAGCAAACTTCACAAAACAACTTCTGATCGCTAGATGAGGACATCAGGCGCCCAGAAAAGCAGCCCATTGTCTTCGAAAGGAGGTAGGACAAAATATAAAAGATAAAAAGAGAGACAAAAGAGCTAGGGACAGAGACCCGTCCCAGGAAGGGAGTCTTAATAGAGGAAGTTTCCAAACACCAGGAAACCCTCGCACTGGCGGGTCTGGGGGAAGTTTTCGAATCTCAGAGG